AGCGCATGACAACCTCTGCTTCCCTCTGCGAAGGGCCTATCTTTTACTTTTATGTATTTGCTTTTTATGCAAGAGTCAAAGTGTTCTCCTCTATTCCTTTTTATTTACTCTTTTGCAATCATCATCCATCATGTGGTGGGGAAAGATCCAGGCACATATATCCATTTGGATATGAGTGATCATGAGTTATTATTGTTGACATCACCCTTGAGGTGAATAAGTTGGGAGGCGAAACTATAAGCCCCTACCTTTCTATGTGTCCGGTTGAAACTTTTTGATCCATATATATATTGTGAGTATTAGCAATCATAGAAGACTAAATGATGGTTGAGTATGAGGACTTGCCAAAAGGCTCCGATACGAGACCCTTCCTGAAAATATGATGAATTGAAATTGCAAAGCTGACTGAGAATATAGTTTGTTAGTTTTTTAATAAGGTTTATACTTAATACTTCGATGTTGTGATGAATTGTTACTTGCTCATGAGAAGTTTTATGATAATAAAGTTTGTTGTTGTTATAATAATAAGCATGACGCTACTATGTCTGTATTTTGTTTTTATCGACACCTTTCTCTCTAAACATGTGGACATGATTTTATCGGCTTTCGCTTGAGGACAAGGAAAGTCTAATCTTGGGGGAGTTGATACGTCCATTTTGCATCATGTTTTCCTACTATTATTTATATTATTTTTATTCATTATAACACTTTGTTGAGTAATTCTAATGTCTTTTCTCTCATAATATGCAAGGTTTACATAAAGAGGGAGAATACCGGCGGCATGAATTTTGGACCTAAAAAGCTACTTAGAGGTACCTATTCTGCATATATCCAAATGAGCTGAAATTTTACGGAGAATTATTTTGGAATATATAATAAATATTGAAGAAAAGAAATACCAGAGGGGGCCACCTCTAGTGCCCGTCTACTGGTACATAAGGTCTTTTGACCTAGAAAATAACAAAGAGAGGACTTTTGGGACGGAGCGTCGCCATCTCGAGGCGGAACTTGGGCAGGAGCACTTTTGCCCTCCGGCGGAGTGATTCCGCCCGGGGAACTTCTCTTCGGGAGGGGGAAATCAAAGCCATCATCATCACCAACAACCCTCTCATCTTTGGGAGGCCAATCTTCATCAAAATCTTCAACAACACCATCTCATCTCATAACCCTAGTTCATATCTTGTGTTCAATCTTTGTACCGAAACCTCAGATTGGTACCTGTGGGTGACTACTAGTGTTGATTACATCTTGTAGTTGATGCTAGATGGTTTATTTGGTGGAAGATTATATGTTCAGATCCATTATGCCATTTAATATCGCTCTGATCTTGAGTGTGAATATTATTTGTGAGTAGTTGCCCTTGTTCTTGAGGCCAGGGGAGAAGTCATGTTGCAAGTAATCATGTGAATTTGATATTTGTTTGATATTTTGATGATATGTATGTTGTGATTCCCTTAGTGGTGCTATGTGAATGTTGACTACATGACACTTCACCATCTTTGGGCCTAAGGGGATGCATTGTGGAGTAGTTATTAGATGATGGGTTGCTAGAGGGACAGAAGCTTAAACCCTAATTTATGTGCTATTCCGTAAGGGGCTGATTTGGATCCACATATTTAATGCTATGGTTAGATTTTATCTTAATTCTTCTTTCGTAGTTGCAGATGCTTGCGGGAGGGGGGGGGGGTTAATCATAAGTGGGAGGCTTGTTCAAGTAAGAACAATACCCAAGCACCGGTCCACCCACATATGAAATTATCAAAGTAGCGACCATGAATCAAACCAACATGATGAATGTGACTAGATGGAATTCCCGTGTGTCCTCGAGAATGCTTTGCTTACTATAAGAGATTGTTTTGGCCTGTCCTTTGCTACAAAAAGGATTGGGCTACCTTGCTGCACCTACTGTTACTATTGCTACTTGTCACTTGTTATAAATTATCTTGCTATCAAACTACCTGTTACCGACAATTTTAGTACTTGCAGAAATTACCTTACCGAAAACCGCTTGCCATTTCCTTCTGCTCCTCGTTGGGTTCGACACTCATACTTATCGAAAGGACTACGATTGATCCCCTATACTTGTGGGTCATCAGACTTGCTGTAAAAATATTGTATAATTATAATACAAACATTACCTAATGTATGCTAACACAATTCTAATGCTCACATGTCAATGGGGCTTGGCAAGTTCTAAACACAAGCAGGGAAAGAAACTATAACAACAATTTGTGAAAACAAGATAGTCCATAAAGATGCAGATGGTAAATATACTTATTAACTCCAAAAATTCTGAACAATTAGGACGTAGTAAACAATTTGTATAGAAGCAATGTGTATAACTTGCAAAAAATTCCACTTTCCAGTAAAATATGAAAATTCAAACACTACAGGAAAAGTTTTTGTTTTTGCACTGCACATACCAAACAAGCAATTTAAACATCCTAAAGGTAAATCTTGACACAACGTGGTAATTATTTTTCTTGAAAAGTTTCTGTAATCAAGGTTCACAAAGTTTTCATGGGCATGAACAAAGTTCAAGGCTAGCCCCCACTTCCACATTGCTCATCCGTCTCACTTTTACTTTTCTCTTTGAAAAATTTTTAGGTTCCCTTTTATATATTTTTTGTTTTTAAACTTTTAAAAATCACACAATAAAAAAAATGACTCTCTAAAACTTTAACGGTGACTTCCAGGTAGCATTTTCTTTAAAGCTATCAAGCTAGGCATAAAGTGCTCAAGTAATCAATCCACCCGAATCCCAAGGTATATCAAAGCCGATTTTCATTAACAATGATTTATAATTTTGTAGTGAGCACAAAGCAACATATATCATAGAACAACAGAGTCTTAACTCTCTTCCTATGCATCAGCATGTCATAAAAGAACCACTCATGCTCACCAAGTAAACGTTGATGCATAGTATAAACAGTTTCTCGCAATTTTATCATACTAGAAACATAGAGAGGTGGGGATGTAGTTCGTCTCTCATACTAATTGCAAGTAGGATCAGCAAGCACATGCACATTATATCCATCAAAATCATCATGTGTAATGGTAAGATGCAACCCATCAATATAATCATTAATAAGTGTAAACTTCTCTGATATAGTGTAGTTGGGAGAATTCAAAAAGATAATAGGACTATCATGTGTGGGTTATAGAAAATTTATCTCCATAAACATCATTCATATTGGCATCATGGCCACAAGCATAGTAAGCATCAAATTCATCAAAAAGGGATGTTTCAAACGAATCCGAGGGATCATAGCATTCATCCTTCGGTGAGCATGAAGGAAAATTAAACAATGTATGGTTTGAAGGGTTACTCTCATTAGAAGGTGGGCACGGGTAGCTAATTCGCTCTCCCTCCTTTTGTTCTTCGCTCTGCTCCTCATCTTTTTCACCTAATAAGCTCGCAGTTTCCACAATTTCTTCTTCCATAGATTCCTGCAAAACATTAGTCTCTTCTTGGACATGAGGGACCTTCTCAATAAATTCAATAATATCGGTGTTGTATTTATAATTTTCATGGCAATATTTAATTATAACATAATTTTCAGATCTATAAAGAGCATCATCATGATCTTCATACTTTTCAAACAAAGATTCAATTTGATAAGCACATTTAAAAGCAACAAATTCTTCTATTTGTTTCACATTATAGTAACCATATACACCATTAGCATAAGAAGCCTATGTTTCATTAACATTAAATTCACATTGAAAGGAAAGTTGTGGAGTCTCCATGTTAGAGTAACAAGTATAATCATACATAGAGCACATATTCCAAGCATACCAATGCAATATTTTAATTTGATCCCATACATGTTTTCCTTTTTGAGACAAATGATAATCTCTAAAGTATTCCTGGTGATCCAAAGTATCTCCCATTATCAAGTTGAATGGGGATTTATCAAAGTATTATTTAATGTTTTCCACATAACCAACATAGGAGGTTTTAGGAGGTCCCCCATCTCTATGAGTAGCAAGTACAACTAATTTTTTTGGTGTTTCGTGTTTCATATTCATAACTAAAGATATAAAACAACATAGAACCGAAAGTAAAATATATTTATAGATAATGCCAACAAGCACACACGAGAATATTCAACCCACGCTATTGTTCCCCAGCAATGGCGCCAGAAAAAGGTCATGATATTGATGATCGTTTGTAGCCTTTTTCGATAAGTAAGAGTGTCGAACCCAACGAGGAGTTAAAGGTAAGATTTGTATCCTCTTATAACTCTAAGCCCACCAACTCTTGCTCTACCTAGAAACAAGTAATACAACTGCTTTGTAGGAATAAAACTAGAAGTACTTTGCAAAAATAATAAAAGTTAATTTGTTTAGTAAAGAACTTTTGTAGAACAATGAGAAAGATTGTCCCTAGGTAATTGAATATAACACGATAGATACTTATCATATGCAATGAGGGAGAGACATATGCTAACATACTTTTCGTACTTGAATCACGTGTTTTTATGATTGAAACTTTAACAAGTATCCACAACTATTAAAGATCATTAAGATAAAATCCAATCATAGCATTAAGTAACAAAATTCATTTACTTCCATACGCAAAAACCCCTTTACTCGTGTTTAAACTTTTGTCACCCTCGCAACCCATTATAAGCAAATCATGAACGTGTTGCAACAGCCTGCCGTGAAAATTTCCACATGTGTGCGCGGCACAACTCATATCAATCACATCATACCACAATTAACCCGTAGGATAAAAGGAATCTACTCAAACTACACTCCACCTGGCACATGACAAAAGCACCGAAACCTCACTGACTGAAGGGCCCGAGCACAACAAAGCAGCGACGGTTTAGTCCTTGACAAGAGTCAAGAGGTGAAGAGGTTCGGCGGCTAATCCCGGTCCTGCTCTCGCCTCAAGTGCTTTTCCGGCTTCACACACAAAGCAAACACCTCAGTTCAGCTCTCCCCGTTCACCACCCAGGGCCAGGGGTCAGGCACTGTTCCACTGGTGAGTGATGGCGATGGTCACGGCTGACGCCTCCGCCGCCGCCGACGCCGCCACCAAGCAGCCAGAAGCCGACAAGGATTACAGCTCCTACAACGGCGCCTCCACCGCGGGTGTGGGCGGAGGGGCCCGCCGCGGCGGCGGCGGCGGCGTTGTGGAATCTGTGGTGGCGCGGTGGAAGCGGGAGGACATGCTCGACAAGTGCCCCCTCGCGCTGCACGCCGCCGCTGCCGCCTTCGCCTTCGTCGCGCTCGTGCTCGTCGCCTCCAACCAGCACGGCGACTGGATGCAGTTCGACCGCTACCAGGAGTACATGTGCGCCGATTTGAGCTTGGCCGCCTAGGGCTGGTCTTCGATCCGGGCTTCTCAAGCTTCTTACATGTGCTGCCTTGTTGCTAGGTACCTGCTCGCGATCGCGGCGCTGGCCTTCGCCTACTCGCTCGCGCAGGCGCTGCGGCACGCGCACCGGATGCGCGGCGGCGCCGACCCCATCTCCGCGCCGTCCGCGAGGCTTTTCGATTTCATTGCTGACCAGGCGAGTTGCTTCGACCTGTTAGTTTGCAGCTGTTATCATCATTTCTACTTGTTATCTGATAAGAGTTCATGTGGTTTGAATCTCTCAATTGGACCAATGTGTGCTGCTCAGGGAGGGGAAAGCAGGGAACCGTATATAATATTAAGAGATAAGAGATCTCAGCAGATAAAGTGTGGCCGAAATTTACCATGTTAAAGTAAGAATAGGGACAGGGGAGTAGAGATTCCAAATCCATTTGTAAAGGAGACATCAATCCACTAGATTCCAAATGAGCTAAGCGCTCAATACACTGATACCCTGATTGATACTGTATTGTTCTTCGATTGGCTTTGGAATGGGGGCGTCTTTTAACTGTTAAAGATTGGCAACCCAACAAATTACAACCCATAGCGCCTCTTGTTTCTTTGTGGAAACAACTAAAATATGGTACATGTAGCTCTCAATAGTGGTCCAATAGTTCAATCTGTATGGCAACCCAACAACAACCATCTCTGATAATGTTGTGGCGGTGGAATGGGGAGATTGGAGTGGTTGGGGAGTGGTTAGGGCCAGCCATGAGCTATTAGAAGTTGCTCTGTGTTCAATGTATGTTCTCAATCATTGGCTTGCTTCGAGCTTTGGAATAGTACAATACTAGATGGCAAAAAATAGTTCATGTTGTCCATTGCATGTTGTGTAAATACAGATAAATGGATGTAATTGTCAACTTTCAAATGTTTTGGGACCACATTTACTTAGGATGCCCTGGAGGGTATGAATGTTTTAAACCCGTGCTGTTGCTACTTAATTAAGGTTTTCTTATGAGCTTCTGCCTTCTGCGAATAATATGATTGTTTAGCAGCTTACTTTCATGGCTTTGAATCCCATGTGAAGAAACAATGGAATTTGTATTAGTGGACCCCAATATGCTACTGATACTTAGAAGTAGTTTTGCTGGAACTTGGCCCTTGCTAAATTTACTTTACCGGTGCAAATAGCTAGGTTTTGTTAATTAATGAAAGTATTACTAATAATGTGGCTAGTCAGAATGCTGCAGTCCATGAAATTCTTACACACGCATGCTTAAGGAAATCAGGTTTTGGACCAAACATGTTTTCCATGTTAACCCTTAGATTTTCCGGATAATGGCTAAACTGCTGTTGTGGTTATATTTTATCTCAGGTTTTTGTTTTGTGCCATGGTACCGTGTTGAATGCAAGATTACAAAATAGTAGGATATTCTGGATTGAGCTAGCTTCCAAAACCTGCATTGGACTTGCCTGTCAATTGTTGTGTTTCTTCAAAACATGCCAGTCAAAATTTCATAAAGATGAAATTTGTTGCCCCTGCTAATAGAAACTGGTGAACACATTCGCAGGTACTCGCATACTTGCTGATGTCTGCTCTATCAGCGGCTATCCCTATCACGAACCGCATGAGAACAGCTGTGATCAACAACTTCACTGATGCGACCGCTGCCGCCATCAGCATGGCCTTCCTTGCATTTGTTGCCCTCGCATTGTCAGCCACGGTTTCGGGCTACAAGCTCTCCAGACAAATGTACATGTGATGATGTGAATCTTCACTGTAAAAGAGTTAACTGTGACACGAATCATTCATTTCAGAGAAGCAAAATGTGTGGTGTCCCTCTTCTGCACGAATGTCTTGTGCCTTACGGTGATTGGTGTTCATTTTTGGTAGCCACCACATTTGTACATAGGTTTACATGCAGCATTCCTTAATAGTACAATGCTATTTTCAAGTTATGTTCTTCCATTGTGACTCCGACAACATATTGCTGCTGTGATGAGATAGGCTGGAGCTATGCTGCGGAGGAGCCTCTACCTGAGGATCAAACTTTAACTCTGAACATACCATATTTGGCGTACTCTACATGGCACACTCCCGGGTACGAAGCATCTGTGAAGTAGATCTAGCTGGTGAGGCGGTGCTGCGGTATTTACTTCTTCTGCCAGAGCGGGATTTGTGTCTCATGGGTAATCAGAATGTGCGTGAAAAATGATTGCCATCTCAGCCTAGTACTACTTGTGGGAAAGGCGTAAATTGGTGCACTGCCATCTCAGCCCAGTACTTGTTGTGGGAAAGGCGTAAATTGCTGCACAAGGAGACAACTCAGAACACGGACTAGATTTTTATGAGGATATATGCTCTTATGGCCAGTTTTATTACTGCTTTATCTCCAAAGGTCTCCATGAAAAGAGGGGGTTGGTCATGCCCTCCCGTGGGTTTTGTTAAACTTAATGTTGATGCTTTTTTTTACCATGATTTGCGTACGGGTATGATTGACGTGATACTAAGAGATGACAAAGGCAGATTCATCGTTGGGAGGAATTGAAAGATAAACTGGTGCGCGGATGTCCTGTTGGCTGAAGCTTTGGCTCTCGAACTTGATATATCGCTTGCGCAAAGGACGGTATGCAATCATATTATTAATTCGGTCAACCTGTAGGTGATTGATACCATGGAGGATGGAAAACGGTCGAAACGGCTGGCAGCGGCAGCCATTGATGATTGTTTTCATTTTGCTTGAGATTTCCCTATTTCTAGGTTCAAGCATTGTGATATAAAAACAAATAAAGTTTCTCACAAGCTTGCTAGATTAGCTCAATTTTCTTTGACTTTTGATTGGTTTGAGGAGCCATGAAATGAAATTGTACACGTCCTCACAAATATATTTTTTTGAGAAGGAGGATATACCCCAGGCCTCTACATCGGGGCGATGCATGCAGGCATTTTATTATTTATTCACAAAGACCCTACAAAGTAATACATCGGTAAGCCTGGAGCCACTATCTAGGCAACACATGTTGCTACTCTTATCCCCTTGATGAAGGTGTCCCGAACGTCCGAGCCGAATATCAAACAGACATCGCACCAAAGCCTAACATCTGAAGCCGGATGCCCTAGCCCAGCCACGCACCGGCACTGTCGGAGGTGAGGGTGAGGACGGCTGGGCATGAACCTGAAATTTCTTCCCGCAGTTGGCAACGGTGGAAAGGGGCCTCCTTCTCCACCCTTAGGATAAGGGGCTCGCGGCGGGACATCGAGTTTCTGCACGCGAGCAAGTTCAAATGCTCCTTCATGAACAACAAAATAAAAAAAATAGGAAACAAAACATAGAAAACTGTTTTTTAACAAACAGATAAATTGTCTACATACTTGTGCATTCTCGTGAAGAAAAACATTTCTAAATGCTCTGGGTAAAAACTGATTCTCCAAAAAAATGAATTCATTTTGGAGCATTGATTTTGTTTTTTCCCAGAACGTTTAGAAGAGTTTTTTATTCATGAAAAATTGCACATATGTATACATGTAGCCAATATTTGATGCCAACAAATCATTATTTTTATTTGGTTTTCTAAGTTTTACTGTTCTTCACGGTGCATTTGAGTTTGTGAACAAAAGTACACTTTTCGTTCGAGTGAAAATTTTGATACCTTATATTCTCTCCGTTCCTAAATATAAGTCTTTTAGATATTTGAATATAGACTAAGTACATATGAATATAAACGTATTTTAAAGTATCGATTCACTCATTTTGCTCCATATATAGTCCATATTATAGAATTTCTAAAAAGACTTATATTTAGAAACGGGAAGAGTATTATATTATATTATATATATATAGCCTGGTACAGGGTCTCTGCCCGAGACAATTTTTTACATGTAGAGCCAAAAAACCGCTTATGTGGATGCTCTAAGAGCATGTCTAGCAGATCCCGGAAAAGTGGTTAAACCTGTTGTCGGCGTTCTGAGAACGGGGTCCCCAGACTTGCCTGCCTGCTGCCTGCGGCGTGGCTCCACCAGTGGACCAGTACGTCCCGTCTTCATCAACCCAACACTCAAGACCCTCGTGAGGGGCCGAGCCTCGCGGGACGGACGACACAAGGCCTCCTCAGGAGTGGCCTCACCAGGCAAGCTCGCGAGGAGGCGGAGAGATCAAGGCAAGGGGTACCTCGCGAGGTGCCCATGACGCAAGCCATGACGATCGAGACCAGGCGAGCGCCGGCCCGCGTAGTGTCCTCGTTTCCTCTTTGGTGCAAAGGGGGCAGGCGCAGGCGCAAAGTACCGAGGCATCAGGCAAAGGTTTCCATATCGGTGCAACGAGACCAAGACCAGCAGGACGGCAGGACGAAGGTCATCATGGAGCCCAAGACGGCGTCACCTGGCAGGCGAAGACCGCCCTTAGTCAGGATAGCCTGTACTAGCTGTCCCCTTTCAAAATGGCTGTTGTTGGATCCCGTCCCGCTCAATATTTGGGAAGAGGACCAGGGCCTCTATAAATAGGGCTAGCGACCACAGTAGAAGAGGGAAGTTAAGTTCATCCGCACACCACACCACCTCAAGAACACCTCTCCTCGCGAGGCTATTCTTCCTTTGTATTGTTCATCACCAGCCCAAGAGGCAATCCACCACCACACACAGGAGTAGGGTATTACACCACAATGGTGGCCCGAACCTGTATAAATCTTGTGTCCCTTGTGTTGTTCATCGTGCTAGCTTAGAGATCGCGGCGAGGTTGAGGGCGTGTTTCGGTAGGGGGAAATCTTCGTGCGCACCCCAGTGTTCGAACCTTAAGGGTTTTGCCGGAACCCGATATCCGACATTTGGCGCGCCAGGTAGAGGGTGCGCCAAAATCTTCCTCCCGCTGATCCGCGTCCCCCCGCTTCATCGCATCCATGTCCTATGACCCTATGCCCGGCGCCGACCGCTGGGCCGCCTGGCCGGCTCGGGCCACGCCGCCTGCCCAAGAAGACCTCAACCCCGCGTCCCAGGCAACCCACGCACCGCAGAACGCTGCGGGGCGCGGGCGACGTGGTCACGCACTGCCCGCCCTTACTCCGCGGCAGGTACGATCAGCCGCAAGGGCCTCAAGCCACACCGCAGCCACGGCGCCGCACACCCAACGAGAACAAGCAAACATGAGAGTCGCGCTCACTGTGGCTCGGGAGCTACTACGATGCAGGTTGATGGAGAGCGGTCGGGATACGCCGCTGGAGCGCGTTGCCGAGCTCCTGGATGCCACAGCCTCGGGGGCACCGCCCTTCTGTTCCAGCTTCCACCCCGGGCCCCGGGCGGATCACGTGACGGGCCTCTCCGCGCCCGCACACCCTCATACACACCCCAAGGCGGCGTCGACACCAGCTCAACCATCGACGCCGGACGTCAGGCTGCACCAGCACCACCTCCGATGA